GAAGCGTGTGTTCTTTCACTTAGCAATTTCGCAAAGCAAATAGATCCAAAACCAGAACGAAACGTGCCTTTGCAAAAACTCGCCAGTCAGTTTTGAGCATTGGCAATCGAGTGGAGAAAACGTGACATTGTCGGTTGGAATTTAAATTAGAAATTCTCATCCACCAGACACCACTGGCTTGGGGGCATGAGGCCATGTCGACTGCAATATCACTCACTGTAGGTTAAATACAAAGTTGCCGGGAGAACGAGCCACAAAAAAAAAACAAGTAAATCCCGGTTATTTCGGTGAGTTTAGAATTTCATTAAAAGCAAATTTCTAGGGCATTTGTTGCCTGGATCGAGCCGCTGTTCTATTTGCGGTAGAACCCAGTGGCTCATTACACAGTCCCCAAAAGGAATTTTAAAACCCGTTTGGATGAAAATCAAGAATTTTCTGGAGATCAGGCAACAGTGTAACTTTCGCGACTGGATGAAATTATCAATTACCCTAAGCAAGCACAAGACGACAATTGAGCCTTTCCTTGCTTGGTTTCCTTGACTTTTGCCTTCCACAAAATGTGTATTCGGAGTCAAACTGTAATAAAACCCTGCAATTTTCGAGTAATTTGTCGATTTCCAGATTTCAATCAATTTGCCCCAAAAACAGATTAAGTAAAGTGAAATTCTCTCCTAGCTGAAAAATGATGCAACCGCAACCAGATTCCGACAATAAATCATACTCCGAATACTTTATTCAACGTTCCCTTTAAGGAAGGTTTCCAAACGCTTCTGCTTGATTGATGGTTCTGTTTCTTTAAAAGCCCTGTAAACTTCGTCTATAAATATTCCTGGAGGAGATTTTAATTCGATATCCAGACTTTGTCTCTCCAGGTCTGATTACCGAGATTTATTATATAAGCTGGTTTCTAGTGAACTGCCTGAAGATGGCCAAAAATCGAAACTTTTTGCGGAGAGACTTTTGTCAAAAAAAAATTGGCAAAGTGTCCAGCTCTACTGGTTTCCGGGCAAATAAATGCTGAACTCGCTCCTCTTCTGGTTAAACAAGTGGCTAAGTGAAAATTCCCAAAAAATAACCTGAAGATGTCAACAAATCGAAACTTGTTCCGCTTAAAAAATACAATTTTGCCTCCTCAAATCCAGCAAAATCAGCGTCTTACCTTCACCATCCTTGGTATAAATAACATGTTCAGACTACCATAAAAAAAACCTGAAAACCCATCGACATTTAAAAAATCTACAGAATAGCCTGAAGATGACCATAAATCGAAACTTTTTAACTTATAGAAAACAGGATTACTCTACAAGTTTCTATAGAAAATCATGTTTGGACTTGCTTGGTTTCTCGGGAAATAAGCATTGAACTTACCCACGGTTAGTCGAATTTTCGAAACAATTTCATAATGAAAAATTCGTAAAAATTACCTGAGGATGGCAGCAAATCGAAACTTGCACCGAAAAACATGCCTATTTTCTAATAGAAAGCAGGCAAAACCTTTTCATACATTCACGATTCTTTGAAGAAATCCGTTACACTTTCAGACCTTCAAACAGCACCCCCAAAACAAGCAGATTTTCGAAAATTCTTTAAAAAATGAATGCAGATAATAGAAAACTAAAACCTTTGGCTACTAATAGAACAGAGTTTTGTCTACAATGTCTAGGCAAAATACACGTTTAAGCTTTGCTAGTTTCCCAGAAAATAAAAATTGAACCTTGTAATAGTTCAACAAATGGCTGATTGAAAATTCGGCAAAAATTGCCTGAGGATGGCAAGAAATCGAAACTTTCAGGCATGAAACACATGCTATTTCCCCATGCACAGCGGGCATAATCAGCTTCGTACATTTGCTGATTTTCGAAGAAGTATGTTACACATTAAATCTTGCATCAATCACTTGGAAAACCCTCAAGATTTGAAAAATGTTTTGCCTTTTTCTTGAGAATTTGAACTGAATTTGAAACTTGCTCTTCTGAAAAAAACGTACCTTTTTCTTAACAAAGCGTGCAAAAACAGTTTCATATCTAGACTACTCTCTGAAAAAATAAGTTCGATGTTCAGATTTGAAAAGAACATCCCGATGTGAAAACATACCGAAATTTGAAAAAATGTAGCGAATTGCCTGAAAATGTTCTAAAATCGAAACAGTTCCGCTTAAAGAGCGAACTTTCCTCTAAACGATGTGAGCAAAAGCCAATTTTTAGCGCAACTCCTTTGTTAATAAATAAATCCTTAATTCGAATCAGATGGCTATTGGAAAATGCCTCAGAAACGGCCTGAGGATGACTTGAAATTGAAACGTACTGGACCGCTGAAAACTATTTTCTACACAACAGAATCTGACATCTTCCCTAATGTTAAAAATAAATGTTTCACGTTCAGACTTGCAGAAAAATCGATTTTTGATCATTCCGGAAAAAGTACCTGCGGACGACAAAAAATCGAAACTCACTCATTTTATAGACCAGAGTTTTATCTACAAAATATTGCCGAAAAATCGATAACTCTGACACTTTTGAAGAAAATCAATGTTAAACTCAGCCATGGATAAATAAATCCTCGAAACGAGTCACTAATTAAAATTAGTAAAAAATCCTGAAGATGGCTGGAAGGGAAAACTTGGTCCGCTAAAAAGCCACTTTTTCTTAAAAACACCGGACAAAAAGAGTTTGATGGTTTTACTTTTCTCTGGATAAATCAGTTATACCTTGAGACAGGTAAAGAAGAACTCAAAAACTCATCGAGTTTTGAAAAATTCTAGCTGACTGCCTGAAGATGACCCGAAGATTAGAAACTTTTTCGCAGATAGAGTTGAATATCTACTAAAAATTTCTGACAAATATCCTTATTCAGCATTGCTAGTATGTAAATAAATACATATTAAACACCGCCATGGTTAATATTTTCCGCGAAACAAACGGATAGTTGAAAAATCCTCAAATGGCCTGAAGATGACTGCACTTCGAAACGTGTTCAATTGAAAAAAGTTTCAATTACAACTTGGGCAAACCAGTCAACTTCTCAAATTTAATAGGAAATTGCCTGAAGATGGCTTGAAATCGAAACTTGGTCTACTTATAGAGCAGAGTATTGCCTATGAAATACTGGCAAAAACGTATGCCATGGCTTTACTAGTTTTTAAGAAAATTAATCCTGAAAAATGTCTGGTGGTTGAAAAAAACTCGATATAAATTGAAAATTAATGAAAATGCCCTGAAGATGGCAGGGAATCGAAACTGGTTCCATTGAAAAGACGCATTTTTTTCTTTGCGAAAGAGGCAAAAGCAGTTTCATACTTGTACTGCTCTCCGAATAAATAAGTGAAATCTTTAGACTTGCAAAGATCAACCCGAAAACACATCGATCTCGATCATCGATTGAAAGTTTATGGAAAATTGCCTGAAGAGGCCACAAGTTCGAAATTTTCCGCAATAAACAAATGCACTTTACTTCAAAGAATGCTGGCAAAA